CCAGCGCACCGCAACCAACGCACCACCACGCGTACTTACGACGCCTGCAGGAGTTGTCAGTACCATTGCAGCCCACTGACGCTGCGAATAAAACAATTATGTTAATTAAATTGTATTTGGCACAACTCTTATGATAGGGTTGACACAAATGTAATGTCTATCGTACATAAACTATCGTAAGTCACAATCTTCGAATTATACTTTGTTTTTTTTTTTGTTATAACAAAAACAAAGAAGTGACAACAATGTCCCAACTTTAATCGTTGTTACAATATATACTGAAAATCACTGCAGTGAAATTCCACGGTGAGGAACATATCTTGCTAATATTATATATGCGAAAGTTTAGATGGATAGATGTTTGTTAGCGTTTGTAGCCTAAACTGCTGAATGGATTTTGATGAAATTTGCCACAGATGCAGAGGATAGCATGAAAGAACACATAGGAGGCTACTTGATGAACTCCACGCGGAATGAGTCGCGGGCGAAAGCTAGTTTATCATATATTTGTTATAGTTTAACATATTTGGTGCCATCTATTCCCTTGTTAGTTATGATTCTAATAGTATTGGACGTGTTAAGTTAAATAAAATAAAGTAAAGTAGGAGTAAGTAAGTTAAGTAAGAGTATAATCAGGATAAAAAGTGAATTACCAAAGTAAGGTGGTGGTGGTACATAATGCTGGGCCACATCAGCCGCTATAGTCGCCTGTGGTGTCGTCGACACTTGATATTGTAAAACTTGCATAATTCTACACGTTTGCATATCCTTTATTTATTTATCTTTCAACTTCTATACTTCACAACAAATATATCAACAAAAAATAATAAATCATCAAGTCCTTTTCTTTATCATATTGATTTAATATTAATTACTATAATTTAAAAACAAACAAACGTTGAAATAGAACTTCGCATTCGAATTGCGCGCCATTCTTAGAATCGATTTTTACACCACTCACAAACAGGGAGAACAATGACCTTTTCGTAGGAAACAAACAATCACCGATTTCTGAATTACAAACATCTTTTTCACTTAAGTATCCATAACAAACACTAATTATAAATCCAAATAATTGTCACTTATTAAAACTAGCGAAAAATTTAGAATTAATTCATTTTCCCTCCTTTATTTACGTATATTTTACACCAAATGTATTCATTTATCACTGACACTGGCACACAAATTACTGCATATTATAAATAAAAACATTAGAATTGGTATTTAATTATTGCTATACGAATATAGGTTAGATAGTTTATTAATACGTTTACGTCGCGACTAGGTTATGTCTGACAATGGCTGATCCGCGCAGAAGCAATGCGTACTTTATACGTTCGCAGGTAAAAAGGTCTTAAATTAAACGAATGTGACATGGATTTACGCAACTATGTAACTTTATTTATATGGGTATATTTTGTATTGAATTGTCGAAAAGTTCGATAACAATATATTTCTTGACATGTTGAAGAATTTGGTACAACAATGGCTTGAGAAACAGGTAGTCTTATACGAATCTTTTGTCATATTTTGTATTTTTTTATAAACACACCTGCGTTTCACATGCTGAATGGCTTTTGGTTTTGAAAGATATTGACAAGGTTTATTGTGCAAGTTTATATTCACCGAGCGGAAAACATTAATAATCTAAGTGTTAATAGTGTCTTTAGAAAAGTTTGTGTGAGAGAATTATGCATAAAGGACGTTTGCATAAGCTACAAAAACAGGGTAGATAGAATAATACTATAATACTGCTTGACATTTGTGAAATATTTATGTCTTACATCATTAAAACACACGGTACTATTTTAGTTATAGGTAATTTTATTTCGAATAAATTAGAATCATGAGCTTTCTATTCATTAGAGAAAAGGTTTATTTTTCATATCTTTCTAAGACTTCTTTCAATCCACATACATACTTTATGATATGACTACTTTAATAGAAGGTGATAGAAGAAAACTTAAAGCGCATCGAAAAGCAACTTTTTAAAAGTACTGATCAAGAAAGCTTACAAAGACGGATCTAAAATCCTGAACTGATTACTTTCAGAGACTAAAGAAGTCATCAACATCACTTACCAGACCGTGAGATAAACGCTCAATTGAACAATCTGTAATACTCTTTGTCAAAGCCCGACATTAAATTATAACTCCTATAACCTTGATCGTAAAGTTCTTTAATCTTTGATTCTTCTATAGGACGCTATCAGGACGCGAATAATCTAATCCTATCTATATTTGCTATACAATTATAGTACTTATCCAAATGTTAATAAAGCTTACAAACCATTGGTCCGTCTGTTGGTGGCAGCAAGTACACTTGTAGGCGGTCGCGGGGGTAAGGCGGGTGGGGTGTCCGTCTTCGCGGGCGGCGGGGGGCCTGGGTCGTCCGCACATGCGTACTGCGCATTCGATGGCTTGCATGTACACGCCACTTGGTACTGGAAATATATTTGACAGTTCAGCTTACAAATACACAAATTAATATAGTACTCGTCAAAAATAACATGGGATCTAAAGCGATCACGTCACTATGTTGATTAGAGGATTTGTACTTATAGTTTACTATGCAACACATCACTAGAAGTCATGCAAACCCTAAGTTAGGGTGACTAGGCCTTAGTCGATCACGCTGGCCCACTTCGGGTTGACTTTACACATATGTATCTTTGATTTTTTTCGCCGATATGTGCAGGTTGCATGACGATGTTTCCCTTTCCCCGTTAGAACGTCGAGTAAATTATGTAGTTACATTTGAAATTCGAAAAATCGTTATTCACATTGGTACATGAAGATTCGAACTCAGGGACTTGTGGATTACAAGTCAAGTGCTCAAACCCCTGAGCAAACGACGCTCTTAATTAGATATCTTTAAAATCTTTGAATTATAACGAATAGTATAAACAAACCTTATGCAAATCTGATGTAACTGAGGCGCTAGTATCGCATTCTGGGCAGGCATCCGGAGCGGGCGAACTGCGCGCCGACCTCACGTCGGCTAGCGACATCTCGTGAACCTAACTGAAAACAATATTAAAATCCATTATAAAAACGATATAGAACATTCCAAAAAGACATACCCAGGATGTGTAATGTTATTACGACATACG